TGACGAGATTGCTCATGATTAAGCAGAATCCCGTAAAGAGTAGAGAGAGAAAGAGAGGACATGTCATTGAACATCTTAAGACACATGGAAAAGGTGTCCCAAGATTCAGGAAGACATTCCAGAAACTTAGTTAAAGTTTCAGAGTTGGATGCCTACAGCCCTTAGATCAATAAGAAGACAATTAAAACGTTGATGTACTTCAGATAGCGTTTCAGTCTTTCCACAGAGAAAGCTTTCGTACTGCCTTACTAAATTGATCTTCCTAGTTTCTTGAACCTGAGTGGTTCCTTCATATTGAACACAAAGAGTGTCCCACATGGATTTTGAAGTCTTGACCTTCATCACTGAGTGATAAATCTCGCCAGGAAGAGACATAGCTATTATAGACCTAGCGTGAGTGTCTATAGCTATCTTCTTCTTGTCTTCATCACTCCACTGATGAAGGAGCTTTGGAATCTACCGTTCAGGAATCGCGGCAGTCGTAGCTGTTGCTGGAACAGCCAGAGAAATAGCAAATGGTACATATGGTCCATTTTCTATATAGTGTGGAATTTCAGGATCCACACCTTCCAGAAAGAGGGACATCCGGTTCTTCCATAGACTAAAGTTGTCACGAATGAATCGGGGAGGTTTGGCAAGAGAGTCATTGTCTTGAACGTGTGTGTTTGTGTTTTGCAAAGCCATTTAAAAGTAGTAAAGTTATCTAGAGAAGAAGATAAAGTAATGCAGAAAAACAACCAAACAACTTAGAGAAGATAGAACACTGCTCTGATACCAATTGTTGGTCCCGTAAGGGTCTACAAGATATGTATAACAGTTTGTAGAAGGGGGGTGAATACAAACACAGTATTTTCAAATTTAAAATATATATTGATAAGAAAAGATGAATATAAATTTTACAAGACTGTTTGCGGAAAGATAAGGTAAAAAAACCTATCTAAACAATCTTTAATTACACACTTAAACTTAGCAAATAAAAAAGATTTGTTTTAAAAGAAATAAAAAAAGTAAGTTCTTTCTGGGAATGAACTTATTTAGAATGCAATAAAAGGGATTCTAACTTGCTCTTGAAGATGAGCGTATTTGTTCTTAGATGTGTGTTCTTTTACTTAAGCGCAAGGATGCTCAGAGTAAGGTTTAGGTTAAGAGTATATCTGCATGGAGATAGAACACATCTATTTATACCCATTGCATTAAATGCACATTTAATGCAATGTGGTAGGATTAGAACGCATGTCAAGTCTTAAAGGGAAGGCTTGTCCTTTGCTACAGTGAATAGTACAAAACCCTATTCATGGGCATACATCCTTACCTAAAGTTGGTGGGTAATAGAGTCAACTAGTCGGCTCCGTACCATACTAACGTTTAGAAAGGGTATGGGTTTGTCCTTTGTGTGTATAAGGACAAGACAACAACAATCGTGCTTAGCAAGCTTCTTTTGATCGATGAATGCTGGAATAACCTGAAGGTCTCTTCAGCATTCTCTAAGGCTTGGGCATTCTTCACACATATGTAGACAGACTTGTAATTACTGATTACCGCTTCAGATCACGTACTTGTCAGTCTCTAATCTTCAGTTTCAGTCTTCGACATTGGCTGAAGGTTCTTTGGTGTGAGTGTTGTCGTCTTGAAGTATCGCTGTCGCTGATTGAATTTTATAATACAAGTTCTTCAGCCATCACTGAATAAACTCAGTGCAGATCGTTTGAACTGAAAAGACAGAAACATAAATACTTCGTATATATGTAAAAAGGGATTATCATCAAATCACCGAGAGAGAGGATCAACATGGTCTTTCAACTGTAAAAGACAGATCAGCATGAGTTGTTAAAGACGGATCAACCTTAGCTGTAAAGGAAAGATCAACATAAGATTTTCAGAAAAGTTTATCATTCAACGAGGGACGTCCACGAGTAGTATTGTTAACAATTGGTTCATGAACCCATGTTTTTGATGCATTGGTGTTGGAAATGAAGTAGGGTGTGATAGTATGTAGGAGTTAAGATATATATATATATATATATGTGTGTGTGTGTGTGTGTGTTAATTTATAGATTAAAATGTTATGGAAAAAATATATAACATCCATTTAGGATATGTATATTAATATAAATATAAATAATAATAAAATATATTATATTATTTGATTGATTTTGATATTTTATATGTTTTAATCATGTTCAAGTCCTAATGCATTTAGCACCCCTATTAAAGGGGTGCCATTAACACTCCCCATATAAAAGGGAAAATCATCAAAATAACCATTTTATACCTCCTATATTAACAAAATAACCATATCTAAGCAAAAATGCCAAAATGTACACCCAAATCGCCCCCGGAGGGCGATCCGGACATGTGGGGGGCGATCCCCTTTAAAACAATATGAAAAAGTACAAAAAAAATTAAAAAATCATTTATGATGGGTCCCACATGTCTCCTAAAAAGAAGATAACAGTATTTGGCCTCGATTTTCGTGGATCCAACCCGGGGGCGATCCATGTCATCCCTCCCCCTGGAGGTGAGCCACATCACCCCATCACCCCCTGGGGGCGATCCAACCTTTAAGTATTTTATTTTTCCATTTTTTAGGTATTTTTAATAAAAAGGAGATGCTATTTAAAAGTTTTTTTTTTTTTACTTTTTTAGGATCAAATTTCATGGTTAAATATTTAAAAATAAAACTATGATAATTGTGGAGACGCAAAAATTATTTTTATCTGATTTGGAGAACGTAAATCAGATTTACAAAGTTGACCACTATTTCGTCTTTTAGTGTTCTTGATTTGACAATTAATAAGTGTTTTTAATAAAAAAGAAATAATATTTAAATTGTGTTTTTTAACCTTTATAAGTTAAAATTTCATGGTTTTAGGTTATAAAATAAAACCATGATAATTGTGGTCACGAAAAAGTTATTTTTCTCTGATTTCTGCGGAAAAAAATCAAATATTATATTTGATTTACGTAGTTTGACCGCTATTTCGTCTTTTAGTGTCTATGACTTGACGCCGATTTGACAATGTATTTTGTTTTATTATGTAACGATTTATATAAATAGGCGGTCGGGGGACCATAATCACCATCCCCACCGTCTCTTATCCCGTACACCTCTAGAAAAACCGACACCGACCATCACCATCACCGACGACCACCATTCACCATATACCGTAATCCACCACCGTTTGACGCCATCGACCACCTTCCGCCGCCATCCACCACCTTCCGCCGCCACCGGCCACCGTTCCGCCATCCACCATCGTTTTTGGGCATGTTAGCTGAATTGGGTTGGACTTTCATTAAACCCCGAGTCATACCGGCCATGGTCCATGGAGTTACAAGAATATGCTATCACGTGCGGCGCACGTGGAATACCGGCTTATTTTATCGAAGCCCTCCTCTGCGTTTTCTGGCTTCCAAAATCATCGGTCACCAGCAATGGCTCTGCTCCACCGATTTGGATGCTGTTCTTCCCCTTCTTCTCCTCCTCTTCTCTCATTCCAAAAATCAACCCCCAATTCCATGTTATTTACGGTCTCCGCCCATCCGCATCACCGTCGTTGTCCTCGGAGATTTTCGTCGTTTAGGTTAAACGCAACCATTGTCGCCGAATCGCCGACGGCTTCTGCTTCTAACGGTGGAGGTGGACCACCGAAGCTTCTGTTGGAAGTCAAAGACCTCACTGCCGTCATCTCTGAATCGGGAAAGAAAATTCTCAACGGTGTTAACCTCTCAATCTACGAAGGCGAGGTCTCTTCTACTTCATCCAAGTTTGTATCATCATGAAGTTATAATTGAATAATCATATATGCTATTTCAAATTCAGAATTTTGTATCACTGGAAATATTTGATGATAATTCGTTCATGAGAGAAGGTATGATTGATTTTTGAGGTCAAATTCAGCATCTCTTCATCGCCAAATAGACAACGATTTCGTTTCGAACTGGAATTCAGTGTTTTTGCTGTTCTAGTAATTGTATACTGTCTACTCTGGTGATCGTTTGTCGGCTAAAATCATCAAACCTGAACATGAGAAATCGCTTGTTTGACCTCTAAATCGAAAATGTATAATATTTTCTAGATAAAGAACTTCGAATTTCCAAATGAAAAAAGCCCTAACGTTGTTTCAATTACTGATTTGACTAGATTCATGCTATTATGGGCAAGAATGGATCTGGGAAGAGTACTTTTGCCAAGGTTAGTATGCTTATTTTCTAGTTCATGGATTCCATGGAAGTTGCGTCATTTGCTTTTTGGTAATCTTTTGATGTAAAATTGCTTTGTTTCACGTGGTTATCATTGCAATTTGTAAAGAACTAATGATCCTAATATGGGTCCCCAAGATTTCCTCATTTTGCTGTTATTGAAGGTTTCTTGAGACATATGGTTAGGAATCAAACATTTGGCCCAATTTATGTACATGGCTAAATGATGCAATTTTTGTAGGTTCTTGTTGGCCACCGGGATTATGAAGTGACTGGAGGCTCGGTTGTTTTCAAGGGAGAGAATTTGCTTGAGATGGAAGCAGAAGACAGATCACTTGCTGGGCTTTTTCTAAGTTTTCAGTCTCCGGTTGAAATTCCAGGAGTGAGCAATAGTGACTTTCTTCTGATGGCCTACAATGCCAGAAGAAGGAAACTTGGCCTGCCAGAGCTTGATCCACTTCAGGTATATACTTCCCTAACTCCACAACATTTGGTTGTTTTACTCATGAACACTATTATAACTGTAAGGGACACTCTACTCTTTTCATATGATTTGTAAAACTGTCTTTGAGTAAATTAGAAACATAATTTAGAAGGTGGGCTATTATAAAATTCTCGTTCTTTTGGTATAATCTGCTTGGCTTCAATTTTGATTATATTTTGCCAATTTTATATTGAAAAATCTGGGTGTTGGGGAGGGGGGGGGGATCTTGGTCTTAGAAAACAAAGTTTTAACCACCTTCTTAGTCACATCCCTTGGATCAAATCCATCATATTTTTACATTTCCACCCCTTTTGTTGATTGCATTTAAATCTTTCTCTGTGTGTATTGATGAGTTGTTCACATTTTTTGATAAATTGAGTGAGAAGGATTTGGTCATTGCTAATATGCCTTTGCAGTTTTATGGTTACATCATGCCGAAGCTGGAGATGGTGAATATAAAGGCAGACTTTCTAAATAGAAATGTTAATGAAGGATTTAGTGGTGGCGAAAAGAAGCGAAACGAAATTTTACAACTTGCGGTATGTATTCCCAGTGATTCAATTTCTGTCTCTAGTAGTTTACTCTTTGATCTGACAACTATTCTGTGTTTCTTTTCTTACCAAATTCCGTTGTTGTAACAAATTCATTCTTTTTATATATGTGTATTTGGTCTTCTTTTCATTACTCTTTTATTTTTGTACAGGTTCTTGGCGCAGAGTTGGCTATATTGGATGAAATTGATTCTGGATTAGATGTTGATGCACTAAGAGATGTTGCAAAAGCAGTTAACGCGCTAATGACTCCCACAAATTCTGTTTTGATGATTACTCATTACCGACGACTCTTGGAATTTATCAAGCCCGATTATATCCACATCATGGTAACTTTCTCCCTTACTTCTGTTCTTGTGTGTGTTTAAAACTTATTCTCAATGACATGCTAATAAATAATAAGTTTCGCTTTCGCATCAAGCTTGCTGTCTCATACATGGGTTGTAGCTGTTAAGTGTTGCATCTTTCTGGACCTTGTTGACCACTGTGACTTGAATCTTAGAGCTATACGGGATTAGCTCAAGTTATTTTCTATGCTCCAAACAATTCTTTTTGTCACTCGAAAACCAAAAATATGTCGTGCTAATGTTGCTTTTCTTTGTTATGGATGTACTTGTAGGATGATGGGAGAATTTCAAAGACCGGTGACATCTCCATAGCTAATATTCTTGAGAAAGAAGGCTATAAAGCGATGTCAACCCCATAATTGCAGGCTACAAGGTATTGATCCGTACATGTATGCTGTTGTTTCTATTTGTGTAGCCCGTTTGCAGTACATTAGTTTCAGATTTTTCTTCTTGTAACTGGTTGCTGGTCTTTGTGTTTCTTGTTGTTCCCTTCTTTGTGCAACTTATTTCCCTTAGTTCCCTTATTTCTGCCTTGATGCATTTTCTGTTTGCTTGTTTGCACAAGCTCTTGCTTCTTTTTATTATTTATTTCTTTTGGACGACGGGGGTAAATTTATTTATATAAAGTCTACAGTAAGGCAACTAATAGAAAAGAAAGATGGTAAGTTTGGTTGTTGCTGTGGGTTTTCTGTTGAAATCATCTTTCTATTTTGTGCAATTGGATTAACAAGAGAATAGGGGTCGATAGTTAATCTATAATGCGGGTAAGGAGGTGTGTAGTGCAACTCGTATAAGCTATCTAGAACCTGGGATGGCTTAGCAGCGCCCCTGGCCGTGGTCCCTCTGACTGGTCAGCAGGTGGGGTTGAGGGGGGCCGCCCTTGTCCGAATCAAAAACAAAATTTAAGAGAGCTGACACTAAGGATCTTAGTGTAAGGTGGTAACATCAGTGTTGTTCACTAGTGTTACGAAAGTGGCTTCAGCGGCAAAGTCAAAATCTGACGGGTCATCAGCTGATGCCAGATGGGTTCACCCCTGATGGGTTTATGTCTGGCGGGTATCAGCTTATGGTTTGCCTTTGACATGTTATCTGATAGTTATCAGCTGATGTGTTTCCACCAATTCTGGAACTACTCTAATTTCCCGGATTAATTCCAGCAATCATTTCCAATTAATGGAGTATTCCATATTATTATTGGATCAGTTACTATTTCTCTAGGTTTATAGGTTACTGAATCTGCCAAAAGCCTACTATTCATCGTTTTATCTCTATACACGAATTTGACCAACATTTTGCGTTTAAGAAAGCGTTGGCCTTCCATTTCAGTGAAGTTTTGGCACATTGATTTCACATCTAAGCAACTTTTGGGACTACGGGAGATGGAAGAGAAAAACCATTGCAGCAGAGTTCTTTGAGGCTTCAAATGGTACCACTACCACCTGTTGTGCGCTGCTCACTCTTTATTTATTTGTAACTTGATCATTTCTAAACATGCTAAAATGTTGCTGTTGTATATTACCATTACCATTACCATCATGGGATTTCTTACTATTTATAGTAGTATTGGTTCTTTTTCACATGTCCCAATTTCGAACATTCAGTTTTCTACCAAACACTTCCTAACAAACGAATGAAAGAGGTTTTTTTGTTGGAACAAGATAAAACCTTCATTTGATATAACTTTAATATGATATTTGTTTTAATGCTCACAACTGTCTTTCGTCGCAGCCACCACCACACTAGCGGTCACTCCATTTCTTCATCATCCTCCACCACCTCCACAATCACTGTCAGCCACCTCCACCATAACCACTGCCGCATCTACCTCCACCACCATTGTCGATGCAACAACCGCCATCACACCTATTGTCCACCATCTTTACATCATCCACAATCATCGTTGTCCACTACCATCGGCTGCCACAACCACATCAGACACACATACTTCCTCTGCCATCGTCGACCCCACCTCCACCATCTTCACATCCTCCACCGTCAATGTCGTCTACGTGTCATCACCGCATCTACCCCCATCGCTATTGTTGTTGCAACAATCTCCACCGTGCCTCTACTAGTTCATAATGATCTTCCATACCGAATAAACTATACCTTTGTACGAACCAAGTTATTTTTGAACTACCATCAATTATATCAAATTATTTATTCAAATTCGTAATTGTATATATATGTATTTATGTATAGAAAATTGTGTAATATGTTTATAAATTAAATTATTTAAATACTTATTTGATTTGTGTCGTTTATAACTATTATATGATGTATAAAATAATCAAACAAACAACTTTTAGGGGTAAACAATTTTTAGGGACAATTTATCTATGTCCTATCTAATCCAATTATTTTCGCTTACAAAACGCTACCTAAAAGCTCTTGAATTTATGGCATTTCATAAGACTATGGGGGTGTTTGGTTCGTCGGATTCCGATGGAATCTGATGGAATTGGAATGATCAATTTCGTTGATCAAATTCCATTCCGACGTTTGGTTACCTATGGAATGAAATTAAATTCTAAACATTCCCTTAAATGTGGATTTGATCATTCCGTCACAAAAGTGATGGAATTGAAATCCATTCCAACCAGTATTTTGAAAATGACAATAATACTCTCATTGAAAGATAAAACCCTAGCCGCTAAACTCCTTCATGATCAAAGTCTGGACTCCATCAACAGATCGATTTCTTTACCGATCGATTTCTTCACAGTTAATCCTTAGCCGCTGACTCCTTCACCAATCGATTTCTTCCTCTAGACTCCTTCACCAATCGATTTCTTCCTCTGTGACTCCTTCACCCATCGATTTCTTCCTCTAGACTCTTTTACGATTTTGTTAAAGACTCCTTCATCGATCGATTTCTGATTTACGATTTCTTCCTCTGGACTCCTTCACAGTGAAGATGACGATGAAGATGATTTGAGACTATGTATTTGAAGTGAAGATGACGATGATGAATATGATTCAAGGAGGATCCCGGTTGGATTTGTAACAGTGATGAGCTTTGTAAATTATCGGGTGATTTTATCCACACATCCACCACGATTTATGAATCCCACCACTCTCTACAATTATTTGACAGTGACGATATGATTTTATCCCAGGTATTTGATACATGATTTTGATTTCACCCGGTTAAATTTTAATTTTATGACTATTTATAATCAAAAAGTAACAAAGAAAGGGTATTTATGTCATTTTTCATTATTCTATTCCAGTTCCTTTGTAAACTAAACAGATAGATTTCAATTCCTTAACAAATTTCATTCCAATGTCTGCCAACCAAACAGATAGTCAAACCTGACAACATTTCATTCCAATTCTTTCAAAGTCAAATTCCTTTAATATATTCAATTTCATCCAAAAACATTATGTGAACCAAACGCCCCATAAGTTTAATCACAATCTCTTTCAAGTCAATCTCAATTAAAATATTACTTTTTCTCTCATCAATGTATATAATCTTCGACTCCAATCCAATCTCACTTTTTTTTTCCTTTTTCATTTAACCGTGATCCAATCTAATCTAAAATATAATTTTGTAAAAATTATATATTTTATTTTTGTATCATATATAATTATTATTTTTTTAATCTTAAATATAAAAGATAAATTAAACGGATTATTGCATATTTTAAAATGTAATTATAACTAACAAACTTATCATACAATTATAATTAAATAAGACAAGTCACAAAAGTAAGTATGAAAATATATCAATAGTGTGATCTATCTATAGAAAATTGAAAACTATGGATTTTGATATTTTTTAATTAGATAAGTTTTATTTTAAAAAAAATAAACCAACCAATAAACAAATGCCACATGTCAATTTCATTTAATAAAAAATGCCTCAATCTAGGATTCTTGAGTGAGAATGATTGGTAGAGATTGATTCCCTATTTTTTATTTTTTATTTTTTAAAAAAGACTTTTTTTATCCCATTCACGATCTGATTGCTCAGATTGTGACCGGTGATGATCTAATACTTCGAATTTAGGGAAAAAAAAGTGGACCAAAAAATCACTCTTTACCAATTCTTTATTTTTGAAGCATATAATATTTATATACGTTATTTTTTAAACATATAATATATATATATACGGTTTATAATTCGAAGATTCTTCTATCTTCAATGAGATTTGAATATTTGTCATTCCAAGAGCTTTTTATCAGCAACACGGTATCACTGCTCAATTCTTCCACATCATTGTTTGTGTGTAAAATTGATTCAAACCGTTTGAAACGATAGTGTTCATGGGTTGGATTGATCGGGATGAAAACGTCTGAACAGTCAAACTCAATGTTTTTGGTTTAAAAAATCTCAATTCAACCCAGTACTTACGGTTTGAAAAATCTCAACCCAACCCAATACAACCGAAATCATACGGGTTAATTGGGTTGGTGAGGTTGATACTTTGGTACATCAAAATATTCTCCAAACCTTGAATATATTGTTTTTTCCTAATCTACTCATAATTTTTTTTTCATCACCAATCTTTTGGTACAACTTATCCATACTTCTTAAATCTTAAAGATGTCACATTCAATTAATTTTCTCAATTTACACACACACACATATATATATATATATATATATATATA